CTATGTTGGGGGGGGGGGGGGGAAGCCCTCCTTCCCCTTCCTAAAGATGGACGGATAGACATTCGTCCATCTCCAGGGAGGGCAGGACAGTCTACTGCAAAAAATCTCTCCCCTCTCCCTATGCTTTAGGACACCTGGGCTTCCCACCTCTGTTTGCAGCTCCATTTTCATCCTTCCTCCCTCCCCACCTATTTTCCAGCTTTTTTGCAGGGACAAGACTTTTTCAAGCAGAACCGACCCAATTCAGTTTTGGCAAAAAGTGTGAACTTTGTAGGTCCCTGTTCATACAAGTATCTTTCATTCTTGGCAATGCTAGCCAACACTGGCCTAATGCCTTTCATGCACAATCAATCAGTCTGACCCTAAGTGTATATCTATGCCATTCAATAAGGGCGACAATTGTTTCTTTCCAAACCAGAAGTAGCATAACTACTTTAATTCAGCACTAGAGAGGTTACCAGTGTCCATGAAGCACTGCATACATAATGGGTATGCTACTTCCAGATCAGGAGACAGTGTGTGTGGAGCATGTGCAATGTGTCTTAGTATACTACTGTTTGGCACTGTGATAGGGTACACCTCTACACCACTCAAAGTGATCTGCCTTCTGGATAGTTTCTATCCTTTTCAGTCAAATGGCAAGAAGGTTAAGGAGCCATAACTACTAGTTAGAAACAGGTTCTTTACTCTGCTTTATCCCCTTTCTGCTACTTGGGTTATGCAAAGAGAACAGCTGCCACTCAAATGTTTTCTGCAGGGTATTTTGCCGGAAAAGTGGACACCTGGTGGGCAAGGAACTTGGCAATGCTCAATCCAAAGGACTTTAAAAGGCAAAGCAGATATTTCAGACACCAAGCCTAGATATAGTTTTATAAACACATCCTTCCACTGGTAACTAGCTGCATATACATAAAGCTTTCATTAATCTATGTAGCCCTAAAGTTTAAGGAGGACAGCATCAATTCAAGATAATTATTTTTTAAGTTAGCAGTTTCAGATATAAATGCTGAAACCCTTTGGAAACTTGTGGTTTCACAGTTATATATTTTCTCTCTCATTTGTTAAAAAGATGGCTTTTATTGTTGCTTGAAAGCTTTTTCCACTTCAAGAGAACAATTTCAGTCAATTTTCTCTAAAAAGAAAAGTTACTTCTGTATAATTTGTTATAGTAGCTTAGTATTACTAACAATCAGTGGAGATGCGTAGGGGGTGCACAGGGATGCACATACACCTGAGAATGCTGGTGCACCCCCTGACAGGTCGCGCTCCCTGCTTAGGCAACAGGCAGGGGCAGGCAGGAGTGCTGGTGCCCCACCCTGCGAGTACCAACTGGGGAGCGGAGCTTCTGGGAGTGCCGCAGCCACTTCCTGATCAGCACAATTGGTCGCAGAGGGACTCTCCCCAGTTGGTGAGACTGGTCGTGGGGGAACCCCCCCCAATTGCTTACTGGTCACTGGGGGGTGCACGTGTCCCCCCCGACTCAGGTGGCACCAGTCGCCCATGCTAACAATACTGTAAGTATTATAGGTCCTGCCTCTGTGGCCATAGGGGACAGTGGCCTCAAGCTTCAGCAGGGGAAATTTAGGTTGGATATCAGGAGGAACTTTGTGAGTATGAAGGTAGTCAAGCACTGGAACAGACTACCTAGAGAAACTGTGGAATTTTCATCCTTGGAAGTTTTCAAGAACAGACTGGACAGACATTTAGCTGCAATAGTTTAGTCATAAATGCTCCTGCCATAAGCAGCAGGCTGGAATAGATGACCTTGTGAGGTCCCTTCCAGCTCTACTTTCCTATGATCCTATAACAACAGTAGGTAAGTTCTAAGATACCAGTGTCCAATTTTTAATATAAATTGTCTCTTCAAAACTTAAAAAAATTACTGAAGTGTTTGGAAACTTACATATTACAATAACTGAAAGGTTATTGCACTGAAAATTTTCACGCTAAAAAAATGAATTATTTGAATTTCTATAAGAAATTAAAAAAAACAAAGAAAGGAAGCCAATTATGGAAAAGAGAGGAAACAAAGGCTAGAGCCCTGGCCAAGTTCTAAAAGGTTTTAAATACCAAAAATGTATTGTTGCATTAGTTTCATCTTTAATACATGTAATGAAAATAAAGTAATAAAATCTATTCTTGCACTAGTATCCAGTAAAAAGGCTGACATGTAACAGTAATAAGAGAAAACACCATTTCTGAACTAACGAATAGTAGTATAAGTTAAACTCCTTAAGACACTAAAGCAGATAATACCAACTTCGCCCACTTTCTTGCTTCTTCCTCAAGCTATCTGATACGTTTTAATGATTGGTAATAAGGAGCGCTTAAGCAAGATTTCTCATACTTCAGATAATGTTGAGCAAGTGTATTAAACTAGCTGCATCCATACCCAGATGCCTAGTCAAGACTAGGGTGCAATGCTGCATGTACAAGGACATGGTACCCGTTTCAAGAATACGCAGCTAATGCAAAGAGAGTAAGAGATAAGAACTATGTTCATTTGCTTTAAAAATATATTTATATTAAAATTATGAACAAAGTGCCAGAAATATTTACCTCCACACACCAAGCAATTACCTAATTTCTCACAAGTGCTATAGCAAGAAAAAAACCTTTAGTACACAACAATGAAATCCAGTCTCACATCAAATCAAATTTTACTTGCCTCATTAGTATTATGGCAGTTAACTATGTAAATCAACCATGCATCAATGGGAAAACATATGCCTAGACTTTACTACTATTAAACGTATCTGTCCTTTTCAAAAGAAAAGCAGCAAGGAAAAAATAATTGTAGGTTTCCTCAATATAATGTAACCAGTTTAACTCATATTTTATTTCTGGATAAACATGCAGCCAGAGGAACTAAACTTGACCCTTACGTGTGCATAGACTCAAGCATCTGCACCTGGTACTGTGTTTAAAGACCAAGTTATAATGCAGTTCCAGTTTCCAAAATGGGCCTATAAGTCAGTTAGCCTCTAGTCAAGAAATATAGGACAGTCTCCTCTTTCAGTCAGTCAGATGGAATCACTGAAACTTGGGCGCACCACTCTCTCGCAGAGCTTAGTACCCTGTAACATCCTTGTCTTTGCTGGCCTAGGGAATAAAACTCCAAATCCTACTGATACATTCCCCCTCACACTCAAAAACATCACTCTTTCCACTTCTTTTTTTTCCATGTAGGTTTTCATGTGTGCTATTGCACACAACACTGAAATCTGCAGGTGTATCACAATCAGCATGAGATTTTTGGAAGTTTTATAGTGCTGATGCTTTTGCTAGGCCAAATGCCCTCTGTTCAAGGGAAAGACACAGGAAGAAATGGATTTTTTGCTATTTGCCACATCCTTCACTACCAAGAACAGCAAAGAAAAACTGCATAGCTGGTAACAGCAATAGTCATGCTCCAAACATGGCACCAATATGAAAATAAGATAACACTTTCATTCTGCTGTTTCTCTTGCCACCTGACTGACAGGTAACTGCTTTAGAAAGGAAAAGCAAAGACAACCTACTAAAGAACTCTGAAATGTATTACAAGCAAGTTAGTAAGAAGCAGAAAGGAAAGCAGGGAGGAGACAAGGTTCCTACAGTCCTCTGCCAAATTCACTCCCCTGAGAATTCATAGTACCATACTCTATGGTATTTGGCTTCTGCACAGAAACAGGATAGTAGTAAATACTTTAACTGAACATTGTGTCCATGTGATGACAGATGAGAAATTTGGTCTCGGAGACTATCAACTTATCTAAAACAGGGTTGTCAAACTCATTTGGTGCCCTGGTGCAGATCTGGACCCACCTCCAGCAGTAGGGCAGGTAGCACTATCAGTTCAGTGAGCAGTGGAGATTAATCACAGCCATCACTAGTACACTATTCTATCCTGGCCCACGCAGTCAAAACTTGTCTCCAGTCGAGCTCCATACCTCAAATGTCATCAGATTCCCAACTTCACTCACCCACCCCTAAATTCCCAGCCATTCCAAGAGCCCTTTGGGCTGCATCTTTGACATCCCAATTTAATGATACAAGAAAACCAGTAAAGATGTAGACACCCCAAAACTACCCTATCACATATCCTTTTGTTTTTTGACCTGAACGATTCCAGTAAGTGGAAAGAAGATTCAGTCTCCCTGATACTTCAACCCATGGCCTCTGCTGAGATTATCAATAAAATGTGACAATGAGTGCCAAGTGTGACATTTCCACTGAAAACAATCACCTAGACACATGCAGTGTGACTTCAATTACAGAGAAGTTTTCTTCAGAAAATATTTGTAAAGAGTTGCATGTGACTGAGCAGTATGCTTAAGTAAGAAGCATTTTTGTTCTGTTAACAGGAAGATTATCTGCACAGTTCAGTTTTACCTTGTAAATTTGGAAAGGAAGAGGAGATAAAATACTCTTTAAATCAGTTTCATATGTTAAAGGATCAACACCAGCAAAGTTTTAATGCCAAAGTTAAAGGAGACCTAGCAACTAAATGCTCTCTCACTTCCTTAGCTGACATTTTTTGTTAACTTGTTCTTACAATCCCAAATATTCCTATACAAAGATTAAAGATAATACTATTTGTTCCAATGTGTTCATTTAGCAAAACTGATAGCAACTGGTTCCCTCTACTTGTGGGGGTCTTTTACATAATAACAAAGAGAAACCAGGAAAATGCAATTATAAAAACCAAAAACATGCCAGGGATGAAGCCAACATATCTTTAAGAGAACTGTATTTCCATTTGGCATCCAATTAACTAAAAAGCTATATTATAAAGTTCAATGAACAAGGCTCAGCCATTTTGTATTACTACTATGGTGCTTGGGTAAGTGTTATCCATACAAACACTGAAACTAACATATTTAATAAGCAAAGCACTTACCACTCTGGCTGCTCTTTCCTGAGACTCACACTTCCTGCAAAACCAAGGTCCAGTGGGTACTTGCACAATTCCATAGCAAGCTGTTTCGAAAAAGATAAAATATCTCAACAACTGCAAGGGTACCACAGTACAATGATGATATCTAGCTCTGATACAGTATTTGTTCAATAATCAATCCCAAAGTATCTTACAAAGAAGTAAGTTTACTTCTACGTGCAATTCATGTTACTTCTGAAATAGTACCAAAACTATTCTCAGGCTAGAGATCAAATACAACCTACTCATCCCTTAAATTTATGCAAAATATTTAAGCAAAACAAACTACAGTTTACATTACATTCTGAGAAAAAACAGTAATTGTTCAAATACAGCAGATGTTTTATGTGCAATCTGTTTTGTTATTTAATTTACTAGGATAACCAAATAAAAGACAGCTTTACAATAACAAACATCTGTCGTAAGTTAAGTATTTTAAAGATTTAAAAAAAAAAAACAAAACACACTGAAAATAGAACATCATTGGAAATTTTTAGTTTTGTCACAAAAATTTCAGTCAGTTAAATTTTCTTACACTTGATGAATAATGCAATAAGCATGGGCTACTCATATTAGACTAAATACAAAAAAAGTTGATCTAAAAATGCAAACAGAATTGCAAATGCATCCTGAAACTAAACTGATAAAAGTTGTTTATTGCTACAATATAGTCCAAGTTATTGGTGTGCTTACAGATAACTTTTGTATACGTGTGCACACGTACAAACAAATGCTTGATGGAAGGACATGATCCTGGCTCTTCAAGGAGATCAAGCTCATGTGACCCCCTGTATACCCATGCAGGGTTTGACTTCAGTGTGGTTCCATGTGAAGATATAGGTCTTGCTGCCTGTATTACCCTGTAGAATTGTGGCCTAACTCTGTACAGCTTACAATAAGGCAGGGCCATAATAAGAACTTTTAAGCACAATAGTAATATAAAGTAATTCAATACTATGGTTTGTGTTTTAAATGTACAGATCAGAAAAGGTTGAGTAATGATTCTCATAGCACCATTAGCTGTGCCCTTTTGAACTTCGGTATATACACATTTCAGTATTTGTACAGGTTTCATGTCTTCATACAGGCAAGGTAGCCTAATAGTTCCTGTGGAAACCACAATATTTGTAATTTGCAGAAAGTCAATTTCAAATCTCAAATGCAGTTTTACATTCCCCCTAGCTCTGCACTTTGTTCAAAGAAAAAGTGACAGTTTGTTTCTATTTCTAAGTGTGTAGTCAAATAAAATTAAGTGATGAAAAAACTCCACATACCCCCCACCACATACACCTCCTCCCCCCTATAAGTTAACAGAAAAGAGGATATGGAAGAAAGGAGTACTACAAACTCATAAACACTATCTAGTTTTAGCACTATATTTGAATGTAAAAGAAAACATTGTAGGGACAGTTCTACAAAACATGGAAGTTGTATAAAGATAGAGATAGCATCAAGTTCCCACTCCATAAAAAATTCCAACAAATTATTTCCCATAATTATTCATATTCACCAAACAAAGAATCAGTCTTCCAAATGTCACTTGCGCTTTTCAAGCATTCACAAATGGAACCATCTCTTGTCACTTTTTTTGTTTGCATATGCAAAAAGGTATGATTACCATAAAAAATACATCACACTTAATTATCCTAAATTCAACCAAAGCAGGCAAAGAAAAACACACAGTGTCATCTGAAGGTATACTCAATAAAGTTTACAATCTTGCTGCTGAAGTTACCTTGCTGTGCTTACAATTTGAAACCGGCAACAGATTCTATAAAAATACATCTTACGGTATGAAGCAATTCAGGGAGAAGCCTGGCAACTTAGGTAGAGAACTAGCAGTTAGACAAAACCTTAAAACAGCACACCTTACATTATATTTCTGAGAGAGAACATTTACAAATTAAAAAAATACAGGTGAATTTTTAACACCACACTTCTTACTTCCACAGATTACCAGGTTGTTTTTATGCAGTGTGCAAGACTTCCTTATGCTTACACCTTTGTTATTTCTATAAAGTTTCTTTAAAAATGTTAGTTCTTACATTCTGTGCATTAAATCAGAAGCAAATTGTATAGCTTTTTTGAACTAGTAAAAGAAAAAAGTATGCATCCAAGAGACAGAAGCTGTTGTTACACTTAGATTTCAATGGCAGCCAAACAATTTTAACCAAACTCTCAGAATAAGGATATTTTCCTTAGACTAGTAAGTATGAATAATTTCAGCCCAAAATGGGAAATATACAAGCAGTAATGGGAAATATACAAAACAAAAACAGTCTGTGGCAACAAAACGTCTTCCTATGCTAATGTACCAGTTCTCCTACCAGTTTTATAATGCCAGCTGCCAAGCTGTACAGTGTCTCAGTAACATATACTCAAAGTGTCATAGCTTTAATACAGTACATCCACATCAATAATTCTTCCTTTTGTGTAACCACAACAATACTATTTAACCTCAGAAAAATATAGCTTCATGAGGTTATATGGCTGAACTGGCATATCTGTAGTTTTGGGTAAAATAGTTGCATCTAACTTCGAGAGTCACCTTCTATATTAGGAGGCTTTTTGATAAACGCAAGCTTTCTTGTGTTTGATGATACCAACAGCTCTACTGGAATTAGAAGCATTGAGACTCCAAGCACTGAAGTTGGTTGCCACCATCATTCTGAATGCTTTACTGCATAACCCTGCTCACAGTGTCATCCCCAAAACACTAGTATTCCCAAAGGTGTCAACGCTAATGAAGCTGAAAGGATGTTAACACAGGTATGATTTTTAAGCTTAGATACAAATAACTGAATCCTCCTCCTGAAAGTGAACACTTATGTTCTTATCCCGCTTTCACTAAGCCTGATTTACTAAAACTGAAAACAAACCCCTGCCATCAGCCCAGCCACCTTCAACAATGTCCAGCTTGGACTGTCTCTTTCAATATGAACTCTGATCAAGACAAGGCATCACTGATTTGAAAGCAGAGTCATTATGTAGATGCTAGTCCACCCCTTTCATCTCTGCCACTAAGAATTCTTTGCTAAGAATAACTTTGTTTTTCACTCTCTCTGGATTGTCCCCTGCTTTCATGTTATGAAGATTTCTCCCCAGCTCACAAAACCAGGTGCATCTCTTGCAACTAACAACCAATAATCAATGGGTTACAGCTCTGAACTGCTTCTCAGGTAGCATAGTGCAGTAATGGACAGATTCCTTTGGCATGGCAAAAATACTGTCATCCCTCATGTGTGTTAGGTGTATACACTAATGAGCTCCAATGAATTAACCGCATTAAAACAAGTTAAAGAGCAGGCCACAGGGCTCACTCTGGAGCTGCACAGGATAAACTACCAACTGCCATTACTGTTCCTTGTTTCTGCAACCAAAATAAAGCCCACGGGGTTTTTTTGCTAGCCTGAGTGGAAACACCACACACAGCGTGTACTTTCCTCCTCAAAAAAAAAAAAAAACCAACAGCTTGCTGGCAGCAAACAGGCAGTCCCAGGCATACCCACTATGCCCATCAGTTTTGAGCTGAACACCACCCAACCTTCTCCAGGGCTAGAAACAAATGTGGGCCGGGTGATTAATACCAGCAACCCTCCCCTCCCCCACCCAAACCACCCCAACAGGAAGTCTCGCGGCATGTCCCGGGCACCCGCAGCCAAACGACATGACAGGGAAAGCGGGAGCAATCACATGACAGCCGGCCTGCCTTCCAGTCTCTTGGCTTCCCTCCACCAGCTCCCACACGCGGGGAGGCAGAGGAGCCCGGGGCGGAGAGGAGGGGAGGGGAAGGGAGCGCTGGGCAGTCACAAGTTGCGGTGGAGGAAGCGCAGGGCGGGGGGCGGCCCCGCAGACGCCCGCTGGGGAAGCAGTGGGGGAGCAGCGGGAACGGGCGGGTCACGGCGAGGTAAGCGGGGCAGGAGGCGGCCCGCGCTCGCTCACCTTGATGCACTGCGACATTGCAGCCGTGGCCGTCGCAGTAGACGAGCGGGTTCTCGGCCCAACCCCTCTCGTCGGAGCACACGCAGCAGCCGCCGATCATCTCCTTCATGCTATTGGAGAACTCGCCCTCCAGTGACACCGGCAGCAGCGGCGGCTCGCTAGAGACCATCTAGGGGTTAAAAACACCGTCAGCAACGCGCACCCGGGCCCTGCTGCAGCCCTCCCCCCGCCGGCCGGCCGGCCGGGCTCTGCCCCTCAGGCGCTCCG